TGGCTTGGTGGTAGAGCACTTGCCTAGCATGTGTGAGACCCTGCATTTGATTCTTAGCACCACATGAATAAATAAATAAAGGTATTGTGCCATTTACAACTAAAAGAAGAAGAAGAAAAAATCTGGGCATGATGGTATATGCCTGTAATTCTAGCAGCTCATGAGGATGAGGCAGGAGGACCAGGAGTTCAAAGCCAGTCTCAGTAACTCAGCAAGGCACTTAGCAACTCAGCAAGAACCTATCTCTAATTAAAAAAATAATAAAATTATATATGTAATATATTTTATATATACATAATATAAAATATAATATAAATATATATACACACACACATATATATATGGGCTGAGGATGTGACTCAGTGGTTAAGCACCCCTGAGTTCAATCCCCAGTACCAAAAAAAAGAAAAAAAAAAGAAAGCAAGAAATAAAAAGGGATGGAGATGTAGCTCAGTGGTAAAGTATTTTCTCAGCATGTGCAAGGCCCTGGGTTTGATCCCCAATATGAAAGAAAGACAGACAGACATATTGGTGACACTGAAAACACAAATGTTATAAGTCAGTATGCTTGGAAGAATATACTTATACATAAAATGCCTATAAAAAGGATTATAAGGATTCCACCAAGATGTTAACAGTAGATACTCCTGTGGGCAATATAATAGGATAATTTTTCTTTTCTATTTTCTCCAATAAGTATGTATTACTTTTGAGATAAGAAAAAAGTTATAAGCATAAAAATGAAACAAGCTATGTATTTCCCACATAGGTTTGAAGTAGTTTCAATTACTATCATAGACAAAGTTAGCCTGAAGAAACTAGCCATCTTAAACAATGTTTACAACAGGAAAGTGAGATTAACAAATTAAATAGAGCATTTGTACCACTCCTTGAAAGTCAACAAACTCATTATTTAGAGAATCAAAACAGGACAGAATTCCTGAAACAAGATTCCAGAAACAGGAATTGTGATCAGTATTCTGCTTTGAGTCATACAGAACCAAATAAATAAAAACTCAAAGGAAAAACCTGAATCATCAAAGCAGGATAAGAAAGTCTGGTGTATAACAAAAAAACAATGAGGCTTCATGGTATTGTGTTTAGGATTCAGGAGTCAGAGTATTTAGGTTTATAATTGCTTTTTTTTTCTGTCCCCTGTTCTTTATTTGCAAGATGGGGGAAATAACAATACCTACTTCATGAGACTGTCGTAAAGATTTAAAAAATTTAATATAAACTGACTTCCATAATGTCTGGCCATAGTAAGGGCCATCGAAGTGTTAGCTACTAAGCATTACATACATGGTCCCTATTACTGTTATATATCTAACTGGAGCATCAAAAGGAAAGGAGAGAGAACAGAATAGGAGTAATATTCAAAGAGATAACTAAGACTTTCAAAAACTGAAGAAAGATAACAACCTTGAGGTTCAGGTTACCCAATAAATTCTAAACAGTATAAACAAAAAAAATCCACATTACTCATTTCAGTATGCATATTTTGCACACAAAAAGGCAAGGACATATTAGAAAGCAACTAAAGAAAACAGATAAATCATCTTTACAGCTAGGCACAATGGTACACAAATGTAATCCCAATGATTCTGGAAGCTGAGGCAGGAGGATGACAAGTTCCAGACTAGCCTCAACCATTTAGCGAGACCCTGACCCAAATAAACTAAAAAAGGGCTGGGGATGTGGCTCAATGGTTAAGCACCACTGAGTTCAATACCTAGTACCAAAAATAGAAAAGAAATCATCTTTAAAGACATGAATAAGTTAATTTCTTTCTTTTTTCTTGGTACTGGGGATTGAACTCAGGGGTACTCAACCATTGAGCCACATCCCTCTTGCTGTTGCTGAGGCTGGCTTTGAACTCATGATCCTCCTGCCTCAGCCTCCTGACCCTCTGGGATTACAGGCCTGCGCGCTATGGCACTGGTGTTAATTTCTTAGTAGCAACCAGAAAACAAGACAGTTGCATATCTTCAAAGTGCTGAGAAAAAAAGAACTCTTGATCCATAATGATACTCCCAGCACAAATATCTTTTTAAAACAGTAGCAAAATAAAGCCATTTGTAGATAAAACTGAGACATTTTTTTCCACCAAGATGCCCACCCTAAATTAAACCCTTAAGGATTTACTTTAGGTAGAAGAAAGTCGAAACTTATAGATGAAAGAATAAATAAAATCTAAAATTGCTTTAAAAAATACAATGTTGACTTTACAAAATATAATGCCATTTTTTTAGTGGGATAAGAAAGAACCATGACCCAGAACTAAAACATATGAGAAAAAAATGTAAGTCATCTGGGGACTTGCCAAAGTTAATGTTCAAGAGTTCTTGTATTGTCTAGGACTGGGTAATAACACTATTAACTTTAGATTGTGATAAGTTAAATACGCATGTTAAAAGTTTACTGAATGTAGGGCTGGGGACGTGGCTCAAGCGGTAGCGCGCTCGCCTGGCATGTGTGCGGCCCGGGTTCAATCCTCAGCACCACATACAAAGATATTGTGTCCGCCAATAACTAAAAAATAAATATTAAAAATTCTCTCTCTGTCTCACTCTCTCTTTAAAAAAAAAAGTTTACTGAATGTAGTTGGTAAGAAAACAGAAACAGAGGGTATAATTTCTAAACTAGCAAAAGGAAAAAATAAAATGGCAGACAATAACCAATGAAAAGAAAGAATAAAATAAAACAAAATTAAATTTAAAAGGCAAAACAAATAGAAAGGACAACATCATATGAAAAAGTAAATGTACCAGTGACTACAAAGAGTGTCTGGTGGAGCCTTCGCCTAGCACATATGAGGCACTGAGTTCGATCCTCAACACCACGTAAAAATGAAATAAAGGTATTGTATCCACCTGCAAATAAAAAAAGAAAAAAAAAGAAACTGACTTTAAAAAAGAGTGTCAACTCATAGTCAATTTAAGAGGTTAATTTCTTTTTTAAGACTAATGTTGTTACACTAGAAAAAAATAAGACACTCTGTTTACAAAAAGACATGTAGGCCAGGCATAGTGGCACACATAACTGACTTGGGAGGCTCAGGCACAAAGATCAAAAGTTCAAGGCCAGCCTCAACAACTTACCAAGACCCTACGAAATTTGGTGAGATCCTGTTTTAAAATTAAAAATGAAAAGAGGTCTAGGGTTGTAGCTCATGGTACACGCTTACCTAGCATGTGTGAGGCACTGGGTTCAATCCTCAGCATCACATAACAATAAATAAATAAAGGTATATAAAAAAGAACACTAATTTTTAAAAAATGAAAAGGGTTGGGGCTGTAGCTCAGTGGTAAAAACCTTTGGGATCAACCCACACTACCATAAAAAGAAAAGACAGAAAAATTAAAATGAAAAGATGGGAAGATGGGGAAGATGGCCTCCTTTTCCAGATTTCCTATTTTAAATTGCAACTCATCCTATTTTCTTTTCTGGCCAATTCTTCTTGGATTGCTTCTCAGCATACTTTACCTGGGTTATCTCATCCACACTCATTAAAGTAATTAAAACCATACACTGTTGACTACCACACTCTATCTCCACTTCAGAATTCTACCCACAGCACTGGATCCTTATTAGCTGAAGAATAAGTCATCATTAAATACTTATGATGCTCATAACTCTCCTCTGTCATCAGTCCAACTCCTCTTCTTTTTCCACACTTACTAACACTTATAAGCACGTAACCAAAAAGCATGAATTTATCCTAAGTTCCTTCTTATTCTGTTTTTCACTTGCAATCTCTTGTAATTGATGACAAAATCCTGTAGATGATGATGATAATATGATGATTAATATTTTTGTACTGGGGATTGAACCCAGAGGCACTTTACCACTGAGCTACTTCCCTAGCCCTTGTAATTTTTCATTATGATACAAGATCTCACTAAGTTGCTGAGGCTCGTCTCAAACTTGAGATCCTGCTGCCTCAGTTTCCTGAGTAGCTGGGATCACAGGCCCGTGCCACCAAGCCCAATCCTTTAGATTCTTAAACTTAAAGTCTCTCATATCAATTTTCTCTTTCCTTCCCAGATCTGAAACCTCAAATCCAAGAATTACTTAGTAGGGCTAAAAGGCTTCATACAAGTCTGCTCTCCAAGTCAAAATACTCCCAGTGTGGATATTTTAAGAATTCTAAAAGGTATATCTGACTATATCACTCTCGTGCTCTAAATCTTGTAATGGGTCCATCATTTCCAGAAAAAAAATCTAGCACACAAGTTATTTCATTATCTACTTTATACCTGTCTATCAAATCTCATCTGCAGCCATTCTTTCCCATGAAACCTAAATTCTGAAGAATAGAATGACTTCCATTTGCCCGAGTTCAGTAAATTGTCTCTGGAATGCTGTGATCCAGGCTGCCAACCTCCCACACGTCTTCGCCAGCAAATTTTTGTTCATATTTTAAGTTGTTACCTCTTGTGAGAACATATTCGCGAAATATCATTTAGCCCTTTAATTGGCACAGCACGGTGGCGCAAGCCTGCAATCCCAGCAGCCTGGGAGGCTGAGGCAGGAAGATCGTGAATTCAAAGCCAGCCTCAGCAATTTAGAGAGGTCCTAAGCAACTTAATAAGACCATGCCTCAAAGTTAAAAAAAAAAAAATTTAGCAAAATTAAGCTTTAGAATTTAAAAAAAAAAAAAAAAAAGCTGGGAATATGGCTCAGTGTTTAAACCTGCTGGATTCAATCCCCAGTACCTAACAAAAACATGATAATGGACATAACTGTCCATTACTCTACTGAATCCTGATCGAAAACCAGGGGCTGAACTCTAGAAACCTGCCTATTCTAAAATGCTTTAACCACATACTCAAAGAAATCTGGAAAAGATTGGACCTAAAGGTTACAAAAACAGCCAACAGAGAGTGGACTTCCGGGTCCTGAGTAAGCTTCCGGAATCAACAACAGGAAGACCCAATCAGAAGCTTTCTCCGGGAGCCAATAGGAGAGCACTTTACAAAGAGCCAATCCACGCGGCCCTGTCACTGTTATGGTCCTGTCAGGGCGCCGGCGTCGTGGTGCTTGGGCGGTCGCCACTGAGAGGACTTTGGTGGGGCAGTCTCGGGACAGCCCGGCGGCCCTCTGCGCTCGCCTTGGGTCTGTGTCCCAGCCTGCCCCCCTCAGCTCGCAGGCCGCACCATAACGCGAGCGTGCGGGTCCGTGTTGCGGCGGCCTTGGGACCTGGGCCCAGCTGCAGCCTCCTCCACCGCAGCGGGCTCGGAGGGGCGGCGAGATGCAGCCGCCGGGCCCGCCCCCGGCGTATGCCCCCACTAACGGGGACTTCACTTTTGTCTCCTCAGCTGACGCGGAAGGTGAGGCTGCGCCCTGTTAGGGCGAGTCCCCGGGAGGCGCGGGCCGGCGCGGTGGGGTCTCTCTCTGCGCAGGCGGTTGTGGCCGGGCGGGGACGGACAGGAAGCGGACTGCTGGTGAACCCAGCCCTCCTGAGGTCCAGGCCTTCGGAGAGGCCCCGAGTGGCCGAATCTGGATTCGGAGACCCGTCTCAAAAAAGTCAAGTCGCTCGGTCACCCTAGCTTTACCTACACTGTTTGGTGGCAGGGTTTGGGGGCGGCTTATTCACCTCGGGCAGACCCACGGAGCCCAAGGGTTTTATTTGTGAAATTACTCTGTTACCCAGAAAAGGGACGGTTAGATCGGTCGAGGGAAATACCGAAAGAATGAGAAGAAAGTTGATCTGTGTTCTGTTGTTCATCAACAGGGAACCTTTTTGCTGGGATTCAATTTGGCACTGTCAATCCAAATTTCCCTTAAGGAGTTAAGGAGTTCGTGGTTTTTAGAATTTGATACCGTGCTTGGGGTCCCAGTTTTCCTCCCATTTTATAGTGTTGGACCTTGGTATTCAGAGAAGTGTACCCATGTACACTTGAAACTTCGTATAATCCAACTAGATTTCCCCAATAGCCTTTGCAGATTTTCTTGTAGTGTTGGAGAAAGCACTTTTTACAGCACAGGAAAATGTTTTCCTTTTTTCTCAGTTTCGAACTCATTTCCTTGTAACGTGAATCTTCCTCTGCTAGCCATTTTCAAATGTTACTTTTATAAGTCGTGTATTTTTCATTGACCACACTTACTACCTGATAGGAAAAAATAAATTAGTTTAGCTACAGAAATTTCAATCTAGAGAAGATCCTAAGTTTTCTTTAGAAATCTGATTTCTCAGTGAATATAGCTTGTTTTCTTTTTTGTTTGTTTTGTTCCCCTGTTTTGCATTGCCTTAAAAAATAATAACAGTTATGATTTTAAAAATAAAATTTTTGATTGTTTGTTGGAACCCAGGGGCACTTAACCACCGATCCACATCCCCAGCACCCTCCTTTTTTCATATTTTATTTAGAGACAGGATCTTAAATTGCTTAGGACCTCACCAAGTTGCTGAGGTTGACTTTGAACTTTCCATCCTTTTGCCTCAGCCTTCCAAGCTGCTGGGGTGACAGGCGTGTGTCACCGTGCCCAACTAAAAGTAAAATAAATTTTTATCTATCATAGGGAGTACAGCTGATACATTCCTTTTAAATTAAAATGGAACAACCCAAATTATTTAAATCTGTTTCATCTACATTTTGATAGCATGGTTGCTTATGGAGGAATATCTATTTTAATTTCCCAGATTTAAAAAAATATATATTGATTATTAGAACCTGGTGTTTGTTCAGACTCATCTATCTGTGTGTGTGTGTGTGTGTGTGTGTGTGTGTGTGTGTGTGCGCGCGCGCGTATAGATTTTTTTCATGTCCCTCTTTCCCCAAGGAACCGTCTTTTTTTTTTTTTTTTTAAAACACTGGGGACCCAGTATTATGTGACATCAGATATACACATATACATTTCTCCAGATTTCTGAGACTTTTTTTTTAAGAGAGAGTGAGAGAAGAGAGGGAGAAAGAGAATTTTTTTTAAAGAGAGAGTGAGAGAGAGAGAGGAAGAGAAAGAGAGAGAGAATTTTTAATATTTATTTTTCAGTTATCGGTGGACACAACATCTTTGTTTGTATGTGGTGCTGAGGATGGAACCCGGGCTGCACGCATGCCAGGCGAGCGTGCTACCGCTTGAGCCACATCCCCAGCCCAAGAGAGAGAATCTGTCCACCTTAGTTTCTTGAGTACCATACCTAGCTAAAAATGTCTTATTCTTAATGATACCCGTCCTTACTATTTGTCCACATTCAGCCTTTATTCTAAAACTTGCTTTGGTATTTTCTTTCCATATGTATATATTAGTTTTCGGCGGACACAACATCTTTGTTTGTATGTGGTGCTGAGGATTGAACCCAGGCCGCACACATGCCAGGCGAGTGCGCTACCACTTGAGCCACATCCCCAGCCCAGGAACCGTCTTTCTTAAATACATCCAAGAAACCTGACAGAATAACATATCTAGGCTACTCATTGAATTCATAATTTAAGGGCTGGAGATGTGGCTCAAGCGGTAGCGCGCTCGCCTGGCTTTCGTGCGGCCCAGGTTCGAGCCTCAGCACCACATACAAACAAAGATGTTGTGTCCGCCGAAAACTAAAAAATAAATATTAAAATTCTCTCTCACTCTCTCTTTAAAAAAAAAAATTCATAATTTAAGAGACCTGGACATTGTACAGTTTAAATTTACAGAATACTTTAAGCATCCTACTCTTGATTTATGTAAGAATCCTGATGAGCTTTTGATTTCTGTATTTTGTAAAGAAACTGAAACCCAGGTTTAGTAACTTCTACATGATGGCTGTGGAATTAAAAGCTAGTCTTCTTTCCAATAAAACATGAGCCTCTTATATGTTTATAGATTGAATAATAGTGTGTCTGAAGTCTAGAAGAGTCCTAAATTTGCATCCTGGCTTTACCATATCTATGCAATTTTGACCAAGTTACTTAACCTATTTCCTCATAAGCAAATTGGGAATAATAGTACCCAAGAGCTCAAAAATTGTACAGATATAGAGCAATTAGTACTATATCTGGCAAAGTTACATACTCAACATATGTCAGTAATGATGCTTCTACTTAGTGTTAAGTATCCTAAGACTAATTTTTTTATTGTTTTCAAATGTAAACATTTCACTCTCCCAATTCCAAGGGTTTTCTCTGGTTCCTACATATGTCATGTAAATTCTACTTTTCCCTTTTCTATGCTATTCTGTAATCATAAATGTTTTCAACTTATAGATGATTTCAATGTATACCTTTCCTTCCAGATTGTGTCCAAGTCTTTCCTTTTTTTTTTTTTTTTTAATTTTTGAGATGGAGTCTCACTATGTTTGCCCAGACTTGAAATCTGGGATCCAGTGATCTGTCCACCTTAGTTTCTTGAGTACCATACCTAGCTAAAAATGTCTTATTCTTAATGATACCCGTCCTTACTATTTGTCCACATTCAGCCTTTATTCTAAAACTTGCTTTGGTATTTTCTTTCCATATGTATATATATCCTGGTCTTCATACTTTAAATGCCTTTATCCTTTTTGTCCCAAAATTTAAGACTAAACTCTAATGTTCCTTCCTTGGTAAAATCTTACTTAACGCAGCTGGGGATGTGGCTCAAGTGGTAGCGCACTTGCCTGGCATGCACGCGGCCCGGGTTCGATCCTCAACACCACATACAAACAAAGATGTTGTGTCCACTGAAAACTAAAAAAAAAAAAAATTAAAAAATTTTCTCTCTCTCACTCTCTCTTTAAATAAAAATCTTACTTAACAATCCTTAGAAATATGAATTTTCCTAATTTTTCTATATACTAGCACCTACCATAGAACCAAAAAATGTCACAAAAGTATTGTTTAATTAATAAATTATTTTTGCTTTTCTTTATATGTCATTAAAAGAAATATAAAATTTAGGTTATATGGGGCTGGGATTGAGGCTCAGTGGTAGAGCTCTTGCCTAGCATGTGTGAGGCACTGGGTTCAATTCTCAGCACCACATGTAAATAAGCAAATAAAATAAAGGTCCATCAACAATTAATAAAAATATTTTTAAAAACTTAGGTGATATAACTAAAATTGTAGTAGGTTTATAACTAGAGACTTCCGCAAAAATTTCAACGCTTAGGTTAGCTATATATGATAATGGATAAGTTAGTGTTGAGTATATATAAGCTTCCATTTTGTCCCCTATAAAATGAAAAGCACACTTATAAGCAAGCTTTTGGGTGTGTGTGTGTGTGTGTGTTGAGAGAGAGAGAGAAAGATGCTAGGAATTGAACCCAGGGGCACTCTACACTGAACTACATTCCTGCCTTTTTTTTTTTTCTGGATAGTGTTTTCCTAAGTCTTTAAGGTTAGTCTCATACTTGTAATCCTTGTGTCAGCCTCTTAAGTAGATGAGATTATAGGCATGTACCATCACACTTGATTCTAGAACATGAGTTGTTTGTGAATGAGTCAATAACTGAATGAATAAATAGGGAAATTCATACTGAATATTTAAGTCTGTGTTATAAAAATACATCCAACAGCAACAATGAAAGCATGTGTAGCCTAGCATGATGGCACAAGCCTATAATCCCAGCAACCAGGGAGGCTGAGGCAAGAGGATCGAAAGTTCAAGGCCAACTTCAGCAACTTAGTGAAGCCCTGCGGAACTTAGTGAGACCTTGTCTCAAAATGAAAAATAAAAAAGGGGCTGGGGATGTGGTCAGTGGTTGAGTGCCCCTGGGTACTGGGTTTAGTGCCCAGTACCAAGAAAAAAGAAATGCATGTATATAAAAGCAAGAATGTGACAGTATTACTTTGTGAGTGTGTGTGTGTGTGTGTGTGTGTGTATGTGTGTATGTATGTATGTGTGTGTGTGAAGTATATGTAGAAGTCCTTAAGGCAATCTTTTGCCTTCACTTTTTACCAGAGAAGTAACTCTGTCTGGATTATGTCTGCAGATCAGCTTTGGTATTACCTGATACCAAAGAATCTCCCTTAATCATAATTTATATATATATATTTTTTAATATTTATTTTTTAGGTGTAGATGGACACAACACAATACCTTTTATTTTTATGTGATGCTGAGGATCGAACCTGGCCCCACCTGTGCTAGGCGAGTGCTCTACCACTGAGCCACAATCCCAGCCCCATAATTTATATTTTAACAAGGTTCCTTGGTGAATCATAAACACATTGCACTTGAAAAACATTGGTTTTGGATATCATAAAAGATCCAAAGAGGAGGAAATTATTTCTGAGTAGATGATCAGGAAAAACTTAATGGAGGTGTTATTTTGACAAACTTAAGAGGACAATTAATGTTTTTTACAGGGTGGAGGAAGGACCTCCATGTGCAAGGGACTATGTATAAGGAATTTCCTGCCAGAGAGAAA